ATACAGGGAGAACAGAATAGGCCCCAAAATGGAGCCCTGGGGGACCCCACACGTGAAAGAAGCAGTTGAGGAGACAAAGTCTCCAATACGAACTGAGAAAGTTCTTTCGGACAAATAGGATCTAAACCATCCCAACGCAGTACCCTTAATACCAACACATTGTTCTAAGCGTGTAATCAAGATCTTATGGTCTACAGTATCAAATGCAGCTGAAAGGTCTAGTAGAATTAAAATCGCACAGTCCCCTGAGTCAGTAGCAAGTAACAAGTCATTAAAAACCTTCAACATTGCAGTTTCTGTACTATGTAAAGATTTAAAACCAGACTGAGTCGCGTAGGCTGTATGTTGCATTTTATTATTACATTCAGAAATAATGTAGGCTAAAACATCGGTAAATAAAGCAATTTTATAAACATTATTAACACAACTAGGCTATTTTAGTTCCCTTCTCTCCACAACGAATCCTCTAAAGTTAACAGAATTTAGGCTAGGCTATATAAACATCAAGCCTAAATTAATTAATTTAAAGCGAAATTGAAACCTCTCTCATTCGGCACGAATCCAAATGTTTCCATATTCGTGACGTATCTGGATGTTAAAGTATTATTTATGTAAACTATAGGCTTTGTTCTTCACTTGCATTATCATACTTGTATTTTTTTTTATCGTTTTTGCCATTAAAATAGCCTGAGATGCTGACATGGCATTAAATAAAAATATACTACTAACTCGCATTATCTAGGCAAAACATCATCCTTCACATCGGCTATATCAGCAGTGAGGCGCTGGTCACACTGAACAGCACAGAGTGTATACGGACTATTTAAATTGAGCAGTGTAACTTTTTATGTTTCTTTAACTGTGTATTTTATTTTGATAATGAACAGGCTGTGATGTCAAGTTAGCAAAAATATGTGGTAAGTGCGTGTGAGGCACCGGTGCGATCACTGCATTGTTTTCCCAACTGTTACTTCGTAATTTATGATCATACCAGCGCTGGTTGGTCGCACAGATAGAAGCAAAACATCATTCAGAAGTGTAAAGCTTTTGCAAAATGAACAAAACGGGTTTCCTTTCCGTGAACTTTGGATCACATCACAATGAACTGAAACTCAGCACATTTTTTTCTTTCGTTTTGTTAATCTGTTAATGATTTAAGTGAAATATATTTCATGTATAAGGCCTATATATTCCTTTTTATGTATATAGTTTTATTCTGTTTTCTCCGTTC